CCCCTCCCCCCTCCCTTCCCTTCCCTCCTTTCCTTCCTTCCTTCCTTCCTTCCCCCTCTCCCCTCCCTTCCCTTCCCTCCTTTCCTTCCTTCCTTCCTTCCCCCTCTCCCCTCCCTTCCCTTCCCTTCCCTTCCCTTCCCTTCCCTCCTTTCCTTCCTTCCTTCCTGGAAGTTTCCTCACATTGCCAGGGGCGTGCAGCACCTAGAGGGAACCATCAGCTGTTCAAAACAGCTGGCAGTTCTCTCTAGGCGCTGGGCTCCCCTAGAAGGGCAGGGGCAAAGACTTCACGTGCTCCCGCACCCAGACCAATCAGGGTCTGTGGGTGGGGGAGCATTCCAAGCCATGCCCCTTCCACTTGAGGCCCCGCAACCACTTCCAAAATTCGTGAAGTGGCCCCCCTTTAAAAATTATTGCCCCTGCACTGCCCCTGGGAAACCAGAGCCAGGCCTTTCTTCAGTGTTCTCCCTTCTCCCATGTTCTTCCTGAGGTCAGGCTGAGCTGCCCATGACTGTTGGCCAAGCTCCCACCCAGATTCAGGGTGATGGGAGCTTAGTGGGTGATACTCTAGACCCTCTCCAGTGCTGTGGCTCCCACACAGCCTGTCCAGCCTTGGAGTGGCCTCAGGATTACAGGCTCCCTGTGAATGGTCAGCTCTGGGAAGCTGATTGGGTTCTTTTGTCTCATCGCCAGCCCAGAGAGCCCACAGGAGCTAAGGAGGGGAAAATCCTTCCCATGGCCCAGCCCAGCCCAGCCACTGGGGTCGGGGAAGGAGAGGTGTTAGTTTAGAAGGAGTTGCAGGGAACCCGGGGTGGAGGCTTGGAACTCCTAAGAACCCTTCAGTGCTAATAAGCAAAGGATTCCTGCAATACATTGCAGAGGAGACAAACAAGGTTTCTTTCTGACACCATGGCTGTGTCTAGACTGGCCAGTTTTTCTGGAAAACCAGCCGCTTTTCTGGAAAAACTTGCCAGCTGTCTACACTGGCCGCTTGAATTTCCGCAAAAGCACTGACTTCCTACTGTAAGAAATCAGTGCTTTTTGCGGAAATACTATGCTGCTCCCATTTGGGCAAAAGTCCCTTTTGCGCAAACCTTTTGCACAAAAGGGCCAGTGTAGACAGCTCAGATTTGTTTTCCGCAAAAAAGCCCCGATCGTGAAAATGGCCATTGGGGCTTTTTTGCGGAAAAGCACGTCTAGATTGGCATGGACGCTGTTCCGCAAAAGGTGCTTTTGCGGAAAAGCGTCCGGGCCAATCTAGACATGCTTTTCCGAAAATGCTTTTAACGGAAAACTTTTCCGTTAAACGCATTTCTGGAAAATCATGCCAGTCTAGACGTAGCCCGTATGTTTTATTCTACCCTGTCTCTGGTCTGGATGATGCACTGCGCAGCCAACACAACGAAAACCCCATTTACATTTGAAAGTCAACATGAAAAACAGGTTGATGGGGCTATGCAAGAAACAGGAATGTGGGAGCGTCAGCACCTCAGGATCAGCCTAGCTCCGGAGGACAGTGGGGAAAGCTGAGGAGAAGCAACAAGTTAGTTAAGCTGAGCAAATCCCGTGAAGGGGGTGGGGAGTCATGAAACCCTGGATCCTTGTTGTGACTGAAAACCAGTAGCTCTGTCAACGGCTATATTCTTGGGAGAGAATATACTTTATTAAACAGGAAAGGGCACTGTGCATGAGTATGGGTCTGGCATTGTGGTCCATGTTTTGTTTTTTCTGCATACCCCATTCCAATATTCTTACTCACAACTCAGCCGAGTCTTTGAATCTTTGTAAATAAAATCTTGTTTCATCACGAACACATCTCAGTGCTGTGATATCAGGCAGCTGAGCTCAGCCACTGGGTGTGTGCACAGTTCCCCTAGGAAGTCAGCACCTAGTAATGTCTGTGCGCGCCCTGACTGGCTGGTTACTACAGGGCTATGCCCTTCACAGGGAGCAAAGGGGTGGGAGACACTGAATGTTAACCTGCAAATCCAGTAAGACTGGCAAAGTCCTAAGGAGAGGCTTGAGCAGAAGGCTGGTGGTGCAAGAGAGCTGATCCCCACCTACCAGAAGAAACACTCCTTCACACTGGAGGCAAGAATGTATCACAGGGCTGATGAAACACCCTGTGAGAGGACACCGAGCCTCTGCTTACCCCATTTCTTGCCCTCCCCCCAGGCAAGCCCCCCAGGCAAGCATGGCCCCGTCCACACCCCAAGCCAGGACACATGCCGTCTCCCCCACACAAGCCTGCCTCCGCATCGCCCAAGGGCCCATTCTCACTCGCAGGAGTTGGTGATTCTCTGGAAGATCTCCTCGCACGCCTGCCGCAGGTTGTTCTGGTTGTCAGACAGATCATTGGCAGCACACTTGCTGGGATCGACCTCACAGCTGTCCTCTGACTCATACAGCTGGGCAATGGCCTCCCCTACAACACACATGGCAGAGCCCAGACTGACCCAGTTTCTGGAGGAGCCAGAGGTGAGGTACCAAGGCTGCGGCCAGGCAGCCCACAACAGACGTAGTACAATTCAGTCAGCCATTTGAAGAAGCCTGAAGAAAGTGCCCCCTTGTGTGTGAGTATATCAGAGTGTGCAGGCATGTGTGTGTGTGCGTGAGTGTACCTGTGTGTGCAAGTGTGTGTGTACATGCATAGCATGTGTGCACATACAGGAATGCGTGTGTGTGAGCATGCTTGTGCACAGGTGTTACGCACATATACATGTGTAAACGTGTGTGAAGAGCTGTGCTGAACTGTACTGCTGCCCTCTGCTGGGCAGCTTCTAAGCCTGGCTAAGAATGGCATTGGCTGTCCCGGCCCTGTCTTGGGTATTATGTGGCCAGACCAGGACTCTCTGGGCCAAAGCTCAGCCTGATGCAAATGCAGATGGGGCCATAGGGGCTGGGGGACCAGGATGGGGACTCTCAGGTGGAAGGGAGAAAACAGTGTTACAAGGAGCTGGCCTTGGGGGCCCAACTCACCCCAAAGCCAGCACCCTTTCTCTGCACCCTTGCGATGTGCATGGCTCGCCTGGGGCAGTCGCCTGCCACGTCAAACTCCCCAGTGCGTAAGCTGGCCTATTATCCCTCCCTGTGTTAGCCGACTGATCTATTGCACCGAGCCCCTTCCCACAGTGTGGTAGATCCCCTCCCAACACAGCCCACTGACCCATTACATGTGCACACACAGGCAGTGCACTGGCTCCCAACCCATTTCCCCCTCAGCCCAGAGGACAAATGACCCATTCTCTTTATCTCACACACACAGATGAGCATTAGCCTATCAGCCCTTAGGTCACCTCCCAGGGACCTTAGCCAACCGTTACCATCCCCCCCAGGGTGTTTGCTAGCTGGCCCATACCCAGTGTGTCCAGCAGGTACTGTCCCCCAACTAGCTTCATGTACTCGTCAATGGCCTTGGTTGCCAGGGTGTTCTCGCGAAAGATCAGCGCCTCTCTGTCGTCAAAGCGGTCCAGCTCCGCCACTCCTAGATCAATGAGAAATGCCTGTGGGGACAGAGGGGGTGGGGTCACGGGGATCCAGACTTTTGGGCCCACCAGGTCCCATCCCAGCAGCACATGCTCAGCCCGGAGGTGCTGCAGCATGGCAGGGCCAGGTTTGGCTGTGGACTGAGGAAGGAGGCACTGCTTATGGCCCTTGGCCTCTCCAGGCACCCAGGGCAGCTGTGGCCAAATACACAGCCAGGGAAGGATTTGAAGGCCCTTCCCCTCCTCAAGCAACTGACTGCCCAACACTTGCCCCATCACAGTGCCACTCTCAGCCCCAGGCAGGGCAGTTATACCCATGGGGTTATACCCAGGTGATGCTGGCAGCAGGGGAGTTCCCCCCAGAGCCCTGCAGAACAGCTCCCTGTCCCCCTGCAGCAGGTCATGCCTGGGCTCCTGCCCCCATGAGCACAGCAAGGTTCTCTGGTCCGGCTCAACCTCCCTGCTTTCCAAGTTCAAGTGTCCTGGGGCCAAGCGTGACCGACCCCTGGTGGCCCAGCCATACCTTGGCTTTGCCAGTGCTCTGCAACACATGCACCAGGGCGCCGGCGAGTTCCTCCTTGTGGCGCACAGCGATGACAGGCTCCAGCCTGGCGCACAGCTCCCGGTAGCGGAAGGTGATGTACTCAGCAAACTCCTTGTAGCTCACGATGGGCAGCACCCGGATCTCCTGGTAGCGCCCACGCAACCGCACAGACGGCATCCGGCTGGTGGCAGCTCCACACAGTGGATACCATTTCTCCAAGGGCTGGCGCGAGGCAGCCAGTTCTCCCAATGGGATGGTCACAGTGCCCAGGGGGCTGCTATCCCGCCGCCGCCCCTCCTCCTCCCGCAGCAGGCTGATGCGCAGCTCCCGCACTGCAGGCAGTGTGGCCAGCTCAAAGAGCTCGCCCCAAAAGAGTGCCCCGCTTACGTTCGCTGGCTTGGCTGTAGTGCGAGCATACAGGGCACCATCCAGGTGCAACTGACAGAAGAAGCGCTTCTTGGGGGGCAGGTCCCGGGCCTCGTATACCCAGAGACTCAGGGTGTTCTCCACACGCTCACAGTTATCCTGGGGGGACAGCAGAACATAAGGAGTGTGAACACACAGGCAAAGGGAGAGCTCCCCTGCTCATACAGAGGGGGAGCATTCGGGGGAAGGGAAGAAGCTGGGGTGCAGTGGGCCAAGCTATGGGGAGGCTTCAGAGGCCATGATATGAAGGATGACTGGCAGAGGGTGAATTCCCTGTGCCAGGTGAGATAGGATACACTCCATCTCCCCAGTGGTGCAACAGTCCATCCCCAGCAGGTGTTTTGAGAAGTGACAGCCTTTCCCTAGCTGGTGGGTCAGGGGAGAGGGGTGTAAGCATTTCCAGCTGGCATTCTGGGGAGCATCTCACCTTGTTGGGCTGCACAGTTCTGCGCAAGTTCTCAATCCACCGGTCCCGCTCAGCCACTGATGTGCAGCCAAAACAGCGGCTCCCCTCAGCATTGATTATCTGTCAGACAGAGGGAGGTCATGAGTGGGGAGAGCATAGCAGGGGGAGACTGGGTGCTGGGTAAATGCCCAAAGCTGCCATGGGGGGGCGGCTGTGCTCCCAACACAGCTATGGGGGGTTCTGTGCTCCCAGCATGGCAGTGGGAGGTGGGCCTGTGCTCCCAGCATGGCCATGGTGGGGCCTGCATTCCCAGCACTATTGGGGAGGCTGTACGCTTTCAGCACAGCCCGAAGGGGGGAAGCTGCATTCCCAGCACTATCATGGGAGGGCTCTGTGCTCCCAGAATGGCACGTGGGGCCCCTGTGATCCCAGCACAGGGGTGGTGCTCGTGGGTTGGGGCTGGTGCGTTGGGGCCTAGTCCTGTGTTGTCCCATGGTCACTTGCATTCAGCCCTCAGTGCCCCAGGCCAGCAATGAGTTCTGGCCCCTAGGGTTCCTGGCACTAGAAGGCAGTATGGGAGCATGGGGTGTGGGCAGAGACCTGCCCCAAGACTTTGCCAGAAGCTCAGTTACCTGGAAACAGAACTTCTCGCCCAGGAGACTGCCGTGCAGCGGGCGGATCACTACATCTTCACCACTCAGATCCAGCTCAGCTGCGCTTGGTGCAGGCAACAGGGAATCGTGGGAGCCATACCGGATCTGCAGCCTAGGGGAGGAAGGAGGCAGTCACGTCCCTCCCAGCCCTCCTATGGGACACCCTACCCCACCTACGCCTGCAGCAAGGAAGATGAGTCCCAAGCCTATCCTGGAGTTGTGATCAGCCCATACCCACACTTGTCCCCTCCCTGCTGGAGACCCAGCTCACTGGTGCCCAGAGCACTGGGGTAGGCTAGGAGCAGGGGGGCGCTGCTGCCATGGATAAATGCTGCACAGGATTCTCTGATGGGGATGGCCTGCCCTAGGTCTGGGAAAAGAAGACACTACAGGATGGGGGCAACTCAGCCCTTGCTCACCAGGAGTTGTTATTCTGCCTTACAGCCATGGCATCTGAGTGCCCCTACTGCCCTCCTTGTGTGAGAGGCAGTAGGAGAGAGGCTGTTCACATGGCAGAATGAGGAGTAATGGTCTCAAGTTGCAATGGGGGATATTAGGAAAAACTATTTCCCTAGGTGGGTGGAGAAGCGCTGGGCTGGGTTCCCTAGGGAGGGGGTGGAATCTCCGTCCCTAGAGGTGTTTAAGTCCCTGCTTGACAAAGCCCTGGCTGGGTTGATTTAGTTGGGGTTGGTCCTGCCTAGAGCAGAGGGTTGGACTCGATGACTCTTGAAGTCTCTTCCAGGCCTAGGATTCTATGATTCTGTGTTTCAATGTTCTCGGACTTTGCTCAAAGGGGGCATGTTCTCCAAACTGCTCAGATCCTAGGGCTCGTCCCACAACGAGCTAAGGCTTCTTGCTCCCATGCCAGAGGCATCAGGGGCTGTACCTGTCTCCATCCATAGGGGGCGCTGTTAGGCAGTCGGATTTGGATGCTGTCCGACCCTTTCGTTCTTTTAGCCTCTTCCATATTAGCCCCTATGATGAGGAATAAACAACAATAACAGGGCTCTTATGTCACTTAGCCAGTGCTGAAACGTAGCCAGCTCGGGGAGGAGAGGCAGGGAGGGAGCAGAGTTACACCAACAGCTCGGGGGAGACTGGAGAAGGACTGTGAGCTCAAGACAGTACTGGGGGGGCAGAGAGGCAGGAGGGAGTGAACCAAGCCAGGTAGGCACCGGAGAGGAGCCTTGGGGGTCTGCATGGCTTCTAGGCTGGAGGTGCCAGTCTCTGTGTGTACACCTACACAGCCCTATGGGTGTGTGTGTATGTGTCCCAGGGAGGAGTGAAAGTGTCTCTAGTATCTGTGTGCCTCTCTTGAGGCATGTCCCTAAGGTGTGACATCTGGGCCCTGTCCCCTCTTATTCCCAGCTGCTGGAATGCTCTTACCTTCACATTACTGAACTGGGAGCCAGTTGACACGTCACTCTCAGTGCCTTTTCCTGGGGTGAGGAGGCTGGGCGAGCTCTTTCGGGCCAGGCTCAGCCCTTTGGGGGGGGGGGCTCAGCTTGGGGAGGGGACCAGAGAAGGGCTGTGTGTCCAGGACAGTGCAAGGGGCCTGAGAGGTAGGAGGGAGATAATGAAAACAGCTGGGTACCTGGGAAAGGGGACCTGTGCTTGGGCATAGCACTGCATAGGATTCCCCCCAGCTCTGCTGGTGCCCCTCAGTCCCATCCTGCAGCCTATGCTATCCCCACTGTGGACTCTCACATACAGCTTTGCTGGTGCCCCTACTTCTCCATTGTGGCCACTACTGAAATAACCCATCCACAGGTGCCATTTACCCCAACCCTGACCCTTAGGGGGCAACTCAGGGACCAAAACAGCAAGATCAGCTCCCACACTATGGCACTAAGCAGCACAGTATGGGAAGAAGGTGGGCAGCCCTTGGTGGAGAAAGAACAAGTTAAGAACTATTTAGAAAAGCTAGACACACAAATCCATGGGAGCTGGATCTAATGCATCCGAGGGTACTGAGGGAGTTGGCAAATATCATTACAGAGACTTTAGCCATTATCGTTGCAAACTTGTGAAGATTGGGAGAGATCCCAGATGATTGGAAAAAGGCAAATGTAGTGTTCATCTTTAAAAAAGGGAAGAAGAACAATCCAGAGAACTACAGACCTGTCAGCCTCACCTCAGTCCCTGGAATAATCATGGAGGAGAACCTCAAGGAATTCATTTTGAAGCACTCGGAAGAGGGGAATGTGATCAGGAATAGCCAACATGAATTCACCAAGGGCACCTCATGTCTGACCTATCTGATTAGCTTCTATGATGAAGTAACTGGCTCTGTGGACATGGGGAAGTCAGTGGATGTGATATACCTTGACTTTAATAAAGCTTTTGATATGGTCTCCCACAGTATTCTTGCCAGCAAGTTAAGGAAGTATGGATTGCATAAATGGTCTGTAAGGTGGATAGAAAACTGGCTAGATTGTCATCAACAGCTTGATTTCTGGTTGGCGGTTGGTTTCTAGCAGAGTGCCCCAAGGATTGGTTCTAGGGCCAGTTTTGTTCAATATCTTTATTAATGACCTGGATGAGGGGATGGATTGCACCCTCAGCAAGTTTGCAGATGACACTAAGCTACAGGGAGAGGTAGATACGTTGGAGGGCAGATATAGGGTCCAGAGTGACCTAGATAAATGAGAGGATTGGACCTAAAGAAATCTGATTAGATTCAACAAAGACAAATGCAGAGTCCTGCACTTGGGATGGAAGAATCCCAACCACTGTTGCAGGCTGGGGACCACCTGGCTAAGCAGTTCAGCAGAAAAGGACCTGGGGATTACAGTGGTTGAGAAGCGGGAAGAAGGCTAATGGCATATTAAGTTGCATTAGGAGGAGCATTTCCAGCAGATCTAGGTAAGTTACTATTCCCCTTTATTCAATACTGGTGAACCATGACTAGAGAACAGAGTGGAGCTGTTGAGTTAACAAGCAGACTTCTGGGCTACGTCTATACTGGCATGATTTTCCGGAAATACGTTTAACGGAAAAGGTTTTCCGTTAAAAGTATTTCCGGAAAAGCGTGTCTAGATTGGAAGGACGCTTTTCCAGAAAAGCACTTTTTCCGGAAAAGCGTCTGTGTCCAATCTAGACGCGCTTTTCTGCAAAAAAGCCCCAATCGCCATTTTCGCAATTGGGGCTTTTTTGTGGAAAACAAATATCTGCTGTCTACACTGGCCCATTTGCGCAAAAGTTTTTCGGAAAAAGACTTTTGCCTGAACGGAAGCAGCATAGTATTTCTGCAAAAGCACCGACAATCTTACATGTGATCGTCAGTGTTCTTGCAGAAATTCAAGCGGTCAGTGTAGACAGCTGGCAAGTTTTTCCGCAAAAGCAGGTGCTTTTGCGGAATAACTTGCCAGTCTAGACACAGCCCTGGAGTATAGCATCCAATTCTGCCCTCCCCCACCTCCCCACTACAGAAAGGATGTGGACGCATTGGAGAGAGTCCAGCGCAGGGCAACCAAAATGTTTAGGGGGCTGGAGCACGTGACCTACAAGGAGAGGCTTATTTAGTCTGCAGAAGAGAAGAGTGAGGGGGGATTTGGTAGCAGCCTTCAACTTCCTGAAGGGAGGTTCCGAAGAGGCTGGAGAAAGGCTGTTCTCAGTGGTGACGGGTGGCAGAACCAGGAGCAATGGTCTCAGGTTACTATGGGAGAGATCTAGGTTAGATATGAGGAAAAATTATTTCACTAGGATAGTGATGAAGCACTGGAATGGGTTACTTAGGAAGGGGGTGGACTCTTCATCCCTAGAGGTTTTTAAGTCTCGGCTTAACAAAGTCCTGGCTGGGTTGATTTAGTTGGGATTGGTCCTGCCTTGGGCAGGGGCTGGACTTGACCTCCTGAGGTCTCTTCCAGCCCTAGGATTCTATTATTTGATCCCTTGTGTCTTTTTCGGTGAGTGTTCTGGCTCTGAGGAAGCCTCTAGCTCCTGGTCTGCTGGGCACCCTCCCCAGAGTGATCTCTACATCCATCCCCTCTCACGCAGAATTGATTCCCAGGACCCCTGATATACAGGGCAACCCATGTATCCCTGGCGAAGCTGCTCCATTTCCCAGCCATCTGCCCCTTGTTTCCAGCTTGAGATTATCAAGGCCTCACTCCCAGCTCCAGACCTTATCCTGCCTTGGTGTGGTTGGAGAGCCGGGAGCTAGGCTCTACCACCACCACGCAGGGGCTTGTCTCCTATTGGCCGAGATGAGTCGCGCACAGTCAGCACCCTGAGTCTCACTCCAAGACAGATTCCCCAGAACTCCAATTGTTCTTTGCTGAGCCTTCCCATTTATCACCTTCCATTTAGCCAGGAATCAGACCCAGTGTCCAGTGACGGGCTTCTCAGTGCCAGCTCCAAAGCTCAGACCCCTCCCTGCCACTCCTCGATAGCTCTGTCTATACACTGACACTAGCCTGCTCAGCTCCAGGGTGGCACTGGCAACTCCTGATTAGTTGTCACTCCCTAAGTCCCTTCCAGTTGCTGCTTTTCAGCGTGCGGCCCACCTCATCCCAGCAATGGGCCCTGTGTCCCCAGGGGCCATCCAGTTCCTACCATGGGGACATGGTGAGGCTGCTGCCATGAAGCAGACTGGGGAATTCCCTGCTTGTCTGTGTGTTGGGGGGAGTCTCCTAGGCAGAGGAGTCTGGGGGGCATTTTGCCCTTGGGGGGCAGTGATGGGGTTACTGCTCTCCTGTGAGGAGATATAGCCCCCACCAGTCCCAGTTCCTGCCCCACCCGTCACTCGAGCATCTGGGGAGGAAGTGGCAGGAGGGGAGGGGGAGGAGCGCAGAGCCAGCCACAGGGACAGGAAGAGGCTCATCTCAGAGCACCAGCCTCTGAGTGCTCAGAGAGTTTCATCTGGGGCTCAGCCACAAGCTACCCTCTGTAGATGGCCCCACACTCCCACTCTGGGCACCACTGAGCGAGAGCAGGGGCCTTAGGGCAGGGCCGAAGAGGGGATCAAACCCTTGGAATGAGCAGGGTATGTCAGGTGAAGAGGAGCCCAGGAAGGGGGGAAGGCAGGATGTGGGGAAATTAACCACGAGGGACTGGGCAGAGCAAGGAATGGGGGTGCTGACTCTTGGGGGTGGCAGGGTGGGGGCAGAGGCAGGGAGTTAGGTAGGGCAGGGTATGGGGGAGTTAGCCCCCTTGGAAGGGAGGGCAGGGTTTGGGCGAGCTGACCCATTGGTCTGGTAGGTTGGGTAGGGTGTGGGGGGAGCTGATCCTCCTGAGGACTGGTCCGGGCAGGGAGTAGGGGAGCTGCTGGCACCCAGTAGGCATATAGATCCGTGGAGGGAGAAGATGGTACCCAGCCCCTGTCCCTCCTTCTCTGAGCAAGGTGTAGGGATTCTTAAAGGTTCAGTCATCTGAATTCCCAGAACTTGGCAGGACCATAGGGAGAGAAGCCATGTGTCCCATTCTGTCACACAACCCCTTTGGGCAGCTGGGCCATCAGCTGATGGGCGGTGTCACTTTCAGGTGCTAGCCCAGTGCTGTGTGCACTCCCGGGAAGAGGTTCATATAGGCACCAATTTCTGTATTTGGGCTTTGTACCCAGAGTACAGAGGTAGGGAGAGGAGTCTGATGAGACCCAGACATGTCTGGCAAATGCCCAAAGCTCAGCGCCATCACAGACAATGGGGAAACAGGGGGGTCAAGTGACTTTCCAAGGATCCCTCAAAAAGTCTGATCAAGCCAGGGATAAAACCCAGGAGTCCTGTTCCCACTCTCAGACCCTAGCCCCTGGATCATGCTGCCTTCTGGTTATAGTCCAGTCTGTGCTCCCATTCGTAATAACTCCCCCCCGCCCCAGTCCCTCACCTACCAAGTGCCCAGGCACTGCATCCTATTCTGGTCCCTGGAACGCAGCCACATCTGGGGTGAAGCCCAACAGCTGTCCAATTGCTTGCTCCCATGCCAACTCTCCAACAAGCTGCTCTGAGCTCAGGGGAGGGACAAAGGTTCCAATTCCCAAACTGAACTACTGGTGCAGATCCTTTCCCTGCCCCTGCTAAGCTGGCATGCTTCCCTTCAAGCCGAACTCTGACCCAGCAGGAGCAGCTGTGGCTGGCAGGAGATGGCTCCTAAGGGGCAGTTGCCTGGGGGTGGGGGCATCTGGGGTGCCCATAGAGGGCAAGCTGGGTAGGGCTGCTCTGACTCACCTCTCCATGTGGCACAGAGCAGCCAGCCACGCAGCCCCATTGCTCTAGTTGGGAGTCCTGGGCTAGCCCGTCTCCCCCATCAGAACTTAGGCAGCTGGAAGCCAGGCAGAGGTGGGGGAGAAAGAGGAAGGAAGCAGCTTGGCTCTATCTCTAAAGATCAGCAAACACAGCAGCACAGAGGAAGCCTTGAGAGACCTGAGATACCCCTGCTCAGAGCGCTTCCTCCCTAGAGCTGCATCGGTACAGCCCACAGTGGCATGGTTCACACACAGCATGGGCAGGTGGCTACAAGTGGCGCATATGAGTGTGTATATCTGAGAGTGCATGTGCAAGCATATATGTGTGAGCCTACATGTGAGAGACTGTAAATGTGGATATGGCTGTACCCATGTGTGAGTGTGCAAGTGTGCATATGAATGCATGGATATACTCATGTGTACATTGGGGAAAGTGCAGGGCGCTGAGTCAGGGCTCACTTACCGGTATCCCTCCTGCTGCCCAGGAATGGCTGGGCATTGCCCTCCGAAATGGAGCTTCCAGTTCTGTTCCGACTCCGGTATGAAACCTGAGAGTAAGGAGCACAGACTAGAGCTGAGAGGCAGAAAAGGACCTGGGGATTATAATGGATGACAAGCTGGATATGAGTCAACAGTGCGCCCTTGTAGCCAAGAAGGCTAATGGCGTATTAGGGTGCATTAGGAGGAGCATTGGCAGTAGATCTAGAGAAGTGATTATTCCCCTTCATTGAGAACTAGCGAGGCCACATCTGGAGCATTACGTTCAATTTTGGGGCCCCCCACTACAGAAAGGATGTGGACACATTGGAGAGTCCAGAGGAAGGCAACAAACATGATTAGGGGCTGGAGTACATGATTTATGAGGCGATGCTGAGGGATTTGAGCTTATTTAGTCTGTAGAAGAGAAGAGTGAGGGGGAATTTGGTAGCAGCCTTCAACTTCCTGAAGGGAGGTTCCAAAGAGGATGGAGAGAAGCTGTTCTTGGTAGTGACAGATGGCAGAATAAGGAGCAATGGGCTCACGTTGCTGTGGAGGAGGTCTAAGTTGGGTATTAGAAAAAATCTATTTTTCACACATGCACACTTTTGTATGCTCACTCACCTCCTTATCCCCTTCCCCCCAGACTCCTCACCTCCTCGTCCCCTACCCCCAAAGGCCCCTTACCTCCTTGTCACCTCCTTCTCCCACACAAGCCCCCTAACTCCTCATCCCCTATCCCCACCAGCCCCTTATCTTCTCATCCCCTTCTCCCCCAGGCCCCTCACCTCCTCATCCCCTTCCCCTGCAGGCCCCTCACCTCCTCATCCCTTCACCCCCAGGCACCTCAGCTCTTTGTCTCCTTCTCCCAAAGGCCTCTTAGCTGCTCATCCCCATTTCCCCCCACAAACTCCTCATCTCATCTCCACCCCTCTACACCTCACCTCCCAGCCCCCTCAGCTCCTTGCCCCTTTCCCCCACCCAGACCCTTCACCTCCTTTCCTGATCCCTGCTCTACTCTCCCCAGGCTCCTTACTTCCTCATCTCTGGACATAAGCACCAGCTGTCCATCCACCAGGGAAAAGTTGGAGACATCCCAGACAGGGACCTCAGGGGATGGGGCCAATGGGATCCGCTGCGCAGGGCGCACACCATCTGTGGGAAGGGAGAAGCAGATCATCAGAAAGGTGACACCTGCCCTTGGGGCTCAGATCCCCCAACTCCCCTTCACACCTGCCTCTGTCCATCTCTCCTTCCTTTCCATCCCCTCTCTCTGTTCTTATCCTGCCCCACTCTTCCACCTTCTTTCTCCTATTCAGGTTCTTATTAGGGATGTAACAGTGTAATTGATTAATCAATTAGCCAATAAGCAAACACTTATAGGTTAATGCTATAGACTACATGCACCCCGCCCCTCCACCCCGCCAGTAAATTGACCAGCCGGCTCAGCCCCAGTTTGTGCTGAGTCCAGGACCTACCCCTGCTATGGCTCTGCATTTAAAGTGTATTAGGAGCCGGATGTGCAGGCAGCCCAGTTCAATCCTGGCTCACACCAGGTCTGGGAGCTCAGGGCCCCCTGGACAGGGGAGGCAGGCAACCGGTCCATGAGGGGAGCTGGTTTTTAAACTTAATCAACTATTCAATTAATCCATATTTAACACCCTTGGTTCTTATACCATGCCCAACACCATGGGATCTGGGTAATGCTGGAGTCTGGCTCTGGCCTTGACTCCCTGCTGTGCTGGTAACTGCCCTGATGGAAGAGGCTGGCCTGGCTGCGGGTCTATCTACCCCCTTTACACCATGCCACACTCTGGGTCTGCCCTTCTGCCCCGGTGAGTTGTGGGTCTGTGTCCACCCCCTTTGGGCTGCATGTAGGCACTGCCAGTGGCTCTCTCTCTACATACATTAGCCTCACAGATCAGTGCCACAGGACTTGTGGCTAAAGGCAAGCCAGGTAAGGCAGGACAGGTGCTCACTAGTGTGACACTGGGGCAGGTGTTTCCTAGATCCAGGGAGCTGGTGCTTTTCTGGGCACCTCTCCCTGCATTCATGCTCCCAGATGACTGGTCTCCCCTTCTCCCAGCAGCAGCGTCAGGAGCAAGTAGTCTGGGCTGGGCTGGGATGGAATGAAGAGGGCGGGGGCTGGAGGGGCTCCTGCCTGCACTTGTGCATTGCATGCGTGGGCTGCCAGGACATGGAGCCGGTTACACTGAATCAGTGACAGGCGGCTGCTGGTTGTTCAGCACCTGCTGAGCCCAGGAGCTCAGTGCCTGGAATACTCCTGTTTCTACATACATGGTGTGGTGTGCGGCAGAACGAGCCATGCTGCACATTTAAAATACCACTACTGCATGCTCAAATAGAGCCCCTAATGCTGAGTGTGGACCCTCGAGCAGAGTCCAAATCCACTGGGTTGGTACTAGGCCCCCAGCTATGAGCGAGTTTCTTGAAGGAATTCCATCCCTGTGCCAACCCCAAGGGTCCCCAGCCTTCTTCCAGGCTGCCTCCTGAGACGGAATAGCTGGGCTTCAGCCCTCCTCTTTCACCCCAGGAGCTCTGCTCAGCGAATCTAGCTGAGAGAGAAAACTTAAAAAACAACAAATAATTCTGCAGCACCTTAGAGACTAACAAAAAATGTAGATGGTATCATGAGCTTTTGCAGGAACAACCCACTGAGAGAGACTTGTACTCTTCAGGGATTAATGCTCCATAGTTACAGTGTCGCACAGCTTGTCAGAAGAGTCAGCTGTATTAGTCACCTGGAACCCAGCATGGGAAGTCCTTAGGTCAGCACAGAGCATTGATGGGTAAAGCACAGACCATTCTGGTTCGCTCAGATCCCAGCCAAGCCTGTGTCTCTCTCAGTCTGTGTTTACATGGCATTTTTGTCAGTGAAACTTTCATCAGTTGGGGTGAGAAAAAAACACAAATGTTTTCCTGATGAAAGCATCAGTATCTACTGCTGACTAAGCTACCATTGCTTACTGGGGGATGAGGTATTTTGCCAGCTCTCCTGCCAGTAGAAAGCAGCCACATGGGAGACCTCTCAGCAGCACGGTATGCAGTGCAGACATAGCTTTAGACTGACCTCCTAGGTCAGTTCCCAGGTGAAAGCCCCGCTTCTCCCAGATGCCAACATTATCCCCTACTTCACACTTTTCTAGTCCTTTGTTCTCAAGGGGGGCAGTATGGTATGTGCGCCCCTTCCCTGAGAGTCCCTCCAGGAGCCTTTGGAGCAGGCATTGGACACCATGTTGATCTTGCTCAGATTCAACTGGCTCCTCACAACTCTACTTATTTTACCCAGACAGGGAAGTAACAACCCTGTGCTTCGTAGCCTTCCCAGACTGCCATAGATACATGACAAAGTTTTGTGAACAATTATAATTGTAATTATAAATAGGGGGAGGGATAGCTCAGTGGTTTGAGCATTGGCCTGCTAAACCCAGCGTTGTGAGTTTAAGCCTTAAGGGGGCCATTTAGGGACCTGGGATCTGTCAGCAATGGTGCTTGGTCCTGCTGTGAGGGCAGGGGACTGGACTCAAGGTCCCTTCCAGCTCCATGAGATAGGTATATCTCCATATATTAATTAAATCACTGTTGCATGGTCACATGATGCTTCTTGTGCCTGCAGAGCATAGCCCATGAACACACAGGCTGCATCTAGACTGGCATGATTTTCCAGAAATGCTTTTAATGGAAAAGTTTTCCATTAAAAGCATTTTCGGAACAGAGAATCTAGATTGGCACAGACGCTTTTCCACAAAAGCACTTTTTGCAGAAAAGCATCCGTGCCAATCTAGATGCGCTTTTCCACAAAAAAGCCCCAATTGCCATTTTCATGATCGGGGCTTTTTTGCGGAAAACAAATCTGAGCTGTCTACACTGGCCCTTTTGCACAAAAGCTTTACGCAAAAGGGACTTTTGCCCAAACGGGAGCAGAATAGTATTTCCGCAAGGAGCACCGATTTCTTACAGTAGGAAGTCAGTGCTTTTGCGGAAATTCAAGCGGCCAGTGTAGACAGCTGGCAAGTTTTTCCAGAAAAGCAGTTGATTTTCCAGAAAAGCTGGCCAGTCTAGACACAGCCATAGCAAAGCACTGTGAGTAACTATCACACTGCATAAGTGGCAGCACAGTGCTTTGGAAAAACTGCGATGCCTCATGAGGCAGGGCCAGGTTCTCAATCCACAAGCATCTTACTGCATGCTAGCCACTTTTCAACAGCAGTGCACATGCAGGTGTGGAGGAGAGAGAATGTTACAGGGAGGAGGGAGACAGAAAAAGAAAAGCATGTGTGTTTTGGGAAGAGCTCCCTTATCATCAAGGGAATGGGAAGAAAAGCAAGCTGCATCCTGGAACGCATGGCTGCTGACCCCCACTGCCTGATCCCCCTGCTTTCCTGAAATGGTGCCCTTGCATGTGGGGTAGCTCTCTGCACATGAACGCCAGCCTGCCCAAATGGAGCACCAGTGTTGAGCAAGACGGCTTCACCAACAAAGCCACAAGGGCTGTGAGCCCAACATGTTGCGTGCCTTCCTTCACATCAGCATCTCTAGCCCAGCAAGGGGTAGAATTTCCAAACAATCCTGCCTCCAGCAGCCTCCGTGGGGGGGATGGGATGAGGAGATGTGTGTCTTGCTGGAGCAGGCCTCACCCTTGCCTGGCCACAAAGAGGAACAAGGCTTGAGAAATTGCAGTGCAATGCTCAGAGGAGATGCACCTTCCCCATCACACTGACCAGGCCACACCCCTTCTTGGGCTTCTGCCTCAGGCCTTAGGCAGATGGAGTCTCACAACATGCAAAACTGGATGTTGGCCCCAGGACCCCGCCCCCCCCAACAAAGGGCAGTCACCAAGGCCACCCTCCCTGTGAGCTCACAGCTGGCCTCCCCCAGCTGCAGTGAGATGCTGCGGATGTGGGAGGCAGAGAGAACACAACTCTGAGAGGAAGCAGGATCTAACTTCTTGGGCACAGAGCTTACTAGAGGAGCAGACCTGGAGATTTTTGAGCAAGTGCCAACTGCTGTTGTTCTTGCTGTGGTCAGGGAAACCAAACAGTCTATGTGTTAATAAAAAGATCCCACCAAGAATATGCTGACTAGGAGCAACGACTGCTCCCACTAACAGAAACAGCCCTGCAAAGCTATTGGCAAATTGTTCAGGCCACAGGGGAATAGAATGGGTTCATGCCTATCACGATCTACTATACAATGGAGCTATACAGAATGGCCCCGACACAACATGGAACCTGACACCTTGTGCTACAGCCCTGACCTCAGCCCAGCCTATCAGTGAAACCTGACATTGGTGCAGCTGGCTAAGGCGGTAGATCTCCCACCCCTCACTCTATGCCATAGAATCCTAGAACACTAGCACTGGAAGGGTCCTCAAGAGTCATCGAATCCAGTCCCCGGCCCTCACGGCAGGACCAAATACTGTCTAGACCATCCCTGACAGGTGTCTGTCCAACCCACTCTTGAATATCTCCAGGGATGGAGATTCCACAACCCCCTAGGCAATTTATTCTAATGTTTAACCACCGAGACAGGCAGGAAGGTTTTCCTAATGTCCAACCCAAAGGTTTTTTCCTAGTGGCCAAGGTCTGGCCTTCCCATGATGGGGACATGCTAATATCCAGCTCCAGAGCAACAGTTCCTCTCTCCAAAGACCCTGCCCCTCATTTCTGCCCTCCTGAGTCCACATGGGCCCACATGGACCTCATGAGGGCAGATCCCAGGGGCCTAGCTCTGGTGTCCTTGCCAAATCCCCTCTTCAATTGCTGTGGTGTTCCAAAACCAGGATTCACCCCCATGCCTTGTCCGAAGTTGTTGTGAAGTGTGGCGATGTGGTGTTAAACAGCTGCTGCATTTAACCCGAGGAAGCTGCATGCCAGTGGTGAGGGCAGTGAGCTCTCTTAGGGTATGTCTACACTACCCCGCTAGTTCGAACTAGCGGGGTAATGTATGCATACCGAACGTGCAAATGAAGCCCGAGATTTGAATTTCCCGGGCTTTATTTGCATAAGCCGGCCGGCGCCATTTTTAAATGCCGGCTTGTTCGAACCCCGTGCCGCGCGGCTACACGTGGCACGGGGTTCGAACAAGCCGGCATTTAAAAATGGCGCCGGCCGGCTTATGCAAATAAAGCCCGG